CAAATAAGCCCAATAAGATAATTACAAAATTCCTTGGAGACTCAATCCCAAAGGGAGACCTGAAACCTAATAAGAGGGTCCTCTTTAGGACTCTCAACCCCTGAACTTTTTGTTTGTTTTTTTTTTTTTTTTCCTTTTAACTCAAAGACCCTACAACTTGCACAACCGCAGCAATTCATAAGAAATACCCCTTATCACAAAAAGGACAAGTGAAGCAAGAGTTCCTCAATCAAAGAACTATACCCTCTAGGTCGAGTTAAATGAAAATCAAATGCCTAAAAGAAATAGCTTCAAACTGAGAAAGTGTAGTCATAGCTCCAAAAAATGTGGTGCAATCCTCAGCCGCATGCTTGTAGAGGATACAACATTGTGACACTAACAGACCCATCGACTTCCTCGCAACACAATCCAAGGTATTAACTCTCCCATGAAGGAAACAAAAAAAATTTAACCATCTTGGGAATTTTATCCATCAATAGTGAGGAAAAGAAGGAAAAGTAGGCAGAAAGGGGTTCATCGAGCAACTAAAAAAAGGAACTACAAGATAACCCATCGGCATCAGCAAAAGTGGGACCCCAAAAATGATAATCCCTTTACTAAGACTAACCAAAAACTCCCCAATCAAATATAAGAGGGCCACTGTATCTATTGTTTTACTATCGGACAAAGGACAACATAAACCAAGAGAAAGACAGGATGCGTTCCCTGAAGATGGAAGGATGGCCACCAAATGGTTCCTCTGGGAAGAAAGGAAGCATAATCGAGGAAACCAAAAGGCAGAGGCTCTATCTCCTAACCACCTATCCTCTCAAAAAATAGGTATGCATCTTATTCCCCACTGAACACTGAACAACAAAAGAGAAAGAGGAAACTCTGCCTAAAATAACTTTCCACGGATGTGCCTTCTAAAACCCTACTCAAGATCCACGCAAAAATTCATTGCTTCATTTACAAAGCTTACACACACAGATTTCCCATGATGTTCCAATAGCAGTTACTGGATTGTAACCATTTACCATCATGTGAATCCAAGTAGCATTGCACGTTCAACAAACCTTCCAATTTAAGAAGTTAAACAACAAGCAATGAATCAAGAAGGACCATCTTCCAAAGCTAAGTACTCTACGGCTCGTCCCAAAGCCACTCAAATAAAATCAGTCACTTTCGATGTATACAATATCATCAGCCAAGTGCAGAGACCTCGCACAAAGACTGATGACTCGAGTCCTTGCTTGATTCTTTCTAAACTGTTATCTTTTTTCAAGTAAATGGTCGACGACTCGTCATTTAAGACTTCTTTAGTAATTTATAACAGAGTATGTAGTCTACATAATGAACACTCTTTATGGAATGGCAAATGTATCCATAGACAGTCTATTAACTCACTGCTTGCAACCAAAATATTATTTCATCATTCGCTGAGCAAACTATCGTAGTTCACTCGAGGTAAAAATATTATCAAAATAATTTCCTAAAATACCACGATGCATGCTAAATGAACCGGAAGGAAAAAACAAAAATCGGAAACTCTATGAATATAGTTTTCCTTCCAGCTCATAATCACGTCATGTATTTGGTACCTACATTTCCTCTTGAAACAATTTATAACGCAAAACCACGCAGACAATTAGGTAATGGCATGATTTCCACAGCTCTTTTGAACAAAAGCAACCACTAGCAAAACATGGAATAGAAAGCCAGAATTACAATGATATATCATGTTATGATGCAAGTAAAGGCCAACCCTAACCTTCTCGTTCTTAAACCTGGTGCGGACATTTCCAAGCTCCTTGTCGACTCGGAGCCTCTCCTGCTCTTTATTCTGACAATTACGAATGTCACTGATGAAAACGGAGAGGCCTCTCATACCGGACAATGCCATCTCCGCTCAGATCCAGCGGGAAAGACACGGTCTCTTCAGTTCCCTACCTAGATCCCCGCGCTCCACCAGCGGATCTGATGGAACCAAGCGGCACAGCTACTCGAAAGAAGACGGAACTCCAATTCAGACTTCGGATAACAACCGAGCAACAATTCAAATATCCGTAGCTTGATCCAGAACAAACAGCGATGAATGTAGAGATGAAAAAGAAGATCGAGATATTGATGGAGTGAGGGAAATTGGCAAAGCGGTCGACGGAAAGTGGCGGGCAGCAAAGACGACTTTTATTTTACCTCCATCAAAGCCTGAAATTTCAACCAGAAATGATCCCCCTCATCAAATTCTTTGTTCTATTTTCTTTTCTTTTCTTTTCTAACGCACTCGCTGGAGTTTTGTTTAATCCGTATTTACAGTTTAAACTAAAAAAAATTAAAGTCGCTTTTCTCAATTATTAAATACTTTTTTTCTTTTTTTGGTTATATTTCATCACCTTAATTAAATTTTGTCTGTACATTTTAATTTAAGGACTATTGCTGTATATTGTTAACTTTTTGTCTTAATGTACCTAAAAATTAAATTACAATTTTAATACTTAAATATTATAAATTTTAATTTTGTGATTCAATTAATTTAGACAATTTTTATCGACTTCAATATTAAAAATTAATTTTTAACCCATATGTTATTAAACTTAAAAAAAACTTACCACTTATCTATTTATTTTAATAACGACTTTAAAATTTTTAATTTTTAATTCTTCAACCAAAATCTAGAGTTAAAATTACTAACTATGGCATCATTAAATTTTTCATAAATTAATGAATTTAAACTTTATGTGAAATTTTCAATATACAAATTTATTAAAATTTAGATTTAATATCCATAATATATATATATCTATATTATCAAATTTAAATGTGGGTAGTTCTAGTGTGTTTCATTCCTCTCTCCGACCCCGACCATCAATCAATTTGACAATAACTAAAAAATGACTATTAATCCATGCTCCTCTCACTAAAGTATATCAATTTATTACTCGCGTCTTAGTCGGGTAAAATATGACAATTCGAATAAAAAATCTATTTAAAAAGGTTTGAAGGAAATTAAATCAACGTATGTTGTACACTTATTGTAGTTCAATTGGTCCCATGTCAAGGTAGAAGAGTTCGAGCCTTGTCAGTCTCGATGGATCCAAATTCAATAAAAAAAAAAAAACGTCAATTCATCTAACTTAATTTTATGCCAAACCGAGACGAGAGAATGGAATTACATGAGTGAGCGGGTTCCAATCTTGACGGAAACGGAAGAAGACGGCCGCGCCACCTGCATTAATGGGCGGGCGGGCGGGCGGTGGATTCCTGAACTCTGTCTCAATGAGACGGCGATTCAAACATACAATGATTGGTGGTCAAAACTAATGATTGCAGTGGAGACCACATCCTGCAGAATGGGGCCTGCGTCGCCGCTGAGTTATGATTTATGAGGATGGTGGTGATAGATGCCCATTGCTCAAGCCACCCGGGAGCCAAACTAAGGGGATTTTTCTCTTTAAAATTAAGGCTAATTTATGCGGCATTTAAATTTTTATTGAACCCCGCTCCATCTTGCTCAATTTACAAACCGGGAAGGGGCGAACAATTTGGGCCGAGAAGAAGGTTTGAAATTCAAAATTGGGCAGGGGCCGCGCGAACGCAGGCCCCCACTGCCACAAATTATGACGTAGGCTCTGCCTCGTGGGCAGACCTTAGGCGGGCACCCCTCCGAAGTGCAATGGAGGTCACCAACCTAGGACATGGGCCTGCATGATCGCCCATTGACCCCGTCCAGGTAAGTATGTTTACCCGTCCCCACTTCCTTCTCTTTTATAATCCCACTGCTACGCTTTCCTTCCGCTCACTTTCGATGTGGGACTCGAAAATAGATGAATTCAGAACAAGGCCATCTAAAGTTGGTTTCATCCCGAGCTGGGAGAGGTAACAGACAGTAATGGCAGCGTTTTGTTGGAAGAAAAAAAAAAGGAAAAATACAATCGTCGCCTGAGAGATTCGAACTCTCGCGGGGAAACCCCATGTACTTAGCAGGCACACGCCTTAACCACTCGGCCAAAGCGACCTCGGTTGTGAAATTGCAACAACTTTTAATATTTCATCTTATGTGAAAACTTTTCAATTTTGACTTTTATCCCTAGCAACTTCAAAAACAATTTCGCTTCCCCTTCCTTTCAACAGAAATACTTTAAAATCCTTTTCTAACGTTTTCAAACTATGAGAACGTTAAACCAAACGATATGGTTGTGACCCGAAAATAAAAGTTGAGACCCAAACTTTACCATATTATTCTGCCAACTTCACCGCTAGCAAATATTGTCCAAATTTTTCGAGCTTCCCCTCAAGGTCATATAAAGGGTGTTTCGTTCCTCTGTTCAGTCGATGTAAGATCTCACAATCTATCATCTTCAGAGCCTACATCCTCAACTCCCTCGGTAGCAAATATTGTCCGAATTTTTCGAGCTTCCCCTCAAGATCATATAAAAAGTATTTCGTTCCCCTCTTTAGTCGATGTGAGATCTCACAATCTATTCTCTTCAGAGCCCATGTCCTCAACTCCACCGCTAGCAAATATTATCCGAACTTCTCGAGCTTCCCCTCAAGGTCATATAAAGAGTGTTTCGTTCCCCTCTTCAGTCGATATGAGATCTCACAATCTATCCTCTTCAGAGCCCACGTCCTCAACTCCACTGCTAGCAAATATTGTCCAAACTTTTCGAGCTTCCCCTCAAGGTCATATAAAGAGTGTTTCGTTCCCCTCTTTGGTCGATGTGAGATCTCACAATCTATCATCTTCAGAGCCCACATCCTCAACCCTACTGCTAGCAAACATTGTCTAAACTTTTCGAGCTTCCCCTCGAGGTCATATAAAGAGTGATTCGTTCCCCTTTTCATTCAATGTGAGATTTCATAATCTATCCTCTTCAAAGCCCACGTTCTATTTGACACTACTCATGTTCATCAAAAAATAAAAAACTGGTTCAAGCTTTTTTATCCTTTTTTCTTTTTTGGGTGTAATCTAGTCTTATTTTTGTGTATTAAGGTAGAAACATATTTAGTAAAGTGGATGGGCAAAGACAGAAAAGTAGTAGATTATTTTGTATTATCCTCCCTCAACTTGTAGTCCAAGCTTGAAATTCGATGATTATACATATAATATCGAGTCCTCCACATATCCCTATCCATAACCAAACTAACACATTTCAGAATCAAGGAAAAAAAAAAAAAAAAAAAAAA